TAAACATTATAAAATATATTATCCAATGAATAAAAAACAGGAAGAAAACACGAATTAGCTCTAAATATATATAATTTCTTTTTGAAATTTAAGTGAATAGATCTAGTATAAAAGTCATCTTCATTATCCAGTTTAGAAATGAGTGACATACAAGTTACTATGTAACAGTTTAATTAGCTCATCACCAGGGAACTTCTTTTAGTTTAAATTAGTTAGTAAATAGAGAAAAGAACTTAATTTGAATAATGTAATTAGTTAATTGTCTTTCTATCATTTCCTAAAATTAATTTTTTTTTTGTTTTGTCTTTTAGTATGGCAGTTCATCCTTTGGGCGACATGATTGCCACTGCTCAGGGACCCGGAATGGCTGAAAAATCTCAAGTAAATGAATATATTTATATAATTTTGTAAAGTTTTAAGATATATTTTTAACAACCAATTATATATCGCGTTACAGGCACATATACGTATTTGGAGGGTTGATAATTTAGTCACGTTATCTGTAGTTGGACTAAACAGGTTTGATGCTGGAATTATAACTACGGCATTTTCACCCGAGGTTTGAGTTTATAAGTTTTAATTATTGATTAACACAAAAATAAATGATTTTATATTAATCTTTTAATTTTTAATATTTAGGGAAACGTTCTATTAGCCATTGAAGATCACATATTATCGTTGTGGGAATGGTCTCAAGATACTGAAATCGGAAGGGCATCTGTATGTATGTATAATTTCTTTAATCATTTTTAAAATATATTTAAATTGTCTCTTTATATTAGGTCGATCAAACTGATATTCATGGCTCTACATTCTTAACAATCGACAAAGAAATAGCAATTACTTATGGAAAACGGCATTTAACGTTATGGAGAAGAGCGAAGGATGACGTTTTAGAAAGGCAAGATCTGATTACTCTGGTGTCGGTAAGAAACAATATTATGAAAATCTAGTCTAGACGAAACACGAGACAAATCTAATACTCTTGTGTTCTCTTCCTAAGGGATTTTCGTCAAAAATTATTATGTCACTCGAAGTTTTGCCTAATGGTACATTCTTAACTGGAGATTCTGATGGGTATTTGGCATTGTGGATGCAAGACGAAAGCACAGAAACTTATTTTATTAGTAAAGAGATTAGAGCTCATGCCGTAAGCTTCTTATATATTTATTTATTTTTTATAAATACTCTTCAGATTTTTAATATTCTACAGAAACTATTTACACCAAATTTAAACATAACTTTAGTAATAATAAATTTGCTTTATAATAGAAAATTTATTATTGAAATTTACTTTAAAGACTAAGTAAAATTGTCTCTATTGATAGAAGTCTAATTAAATTAATTTATTAATTTAATATGGAAATATTTATTTACTTTTTAGAAGTAAATAAATATTTCCATATTAAATTGCGTTACTCGAAAATTTTAAAATATTAAAAATGAATGAAAAATCTTATAGAATTCAATTAAAATCAGTATTGTTTTAAGAAATACGACTACAGATAACATGTTTATTCAAAAATTGTATCAAAATATATTTAAAAATCTTTCTCTTTTGGGATATCTTTACTCAAATATTGATTATTTTAAAAATATCAATCCATATTCCAATATTTTTAAAACTATCACAAACAATAAAAATATTTATTATATTTTTAACAAATATAATTAAACTTATAGACCAGAAAGATTACATTTAACGAAACTATTTTTAATTCACGAACTTCTTAGCCTGTTACTATTAGGATTTAAATAAATTTATAACATATTTATAGCACGTGTTATGTTCAGAATGCTCTTATCACTCTAATATATGAACAATTCATTATAATTGCACATATACCACTGTATACGAGCAATTGTAATGAATATAATGCAATATATTTTTATAGTTCCATTAATCAATTCTTATTATTTTCACGCTTTCGTTCATATCTTTCAGAATAATGTAAATACAATTTTACTTCTACCTGGCGAACTGTTAGTAACTGGAAGTAGCGCACGAAAAGAAGGAGAGATAAGTATCTGGAATCTTAATGATAAATTATCAAAATATATGACTGCTAGAGTAAGTTTTAAAATTGCATTAAAATAATAAAAATACTAAATAATACATTATTAAATTTTTATTTAAATTCCTCTATAATTTATTTGTTTCCAGCTTCCTCCAGAAACTGGTGAAGTAAAGTCATTATGTCCATCAGCTCTAGAAACTTATCAAGGGACATTTTATTTGGGAACATCTCAAAATATTATCCTGGAGGGTTCTTTACAGGGAACATTTACAACTATTATTCACGTAAATATTACTAATTCGAAGCGAAATATTACTTTCCAATGAAAACTGTATGAGAATTTTCATTATAAATCTCTAATGTAGGGTCATCAAGAAGAAATACGTGCCTTAGCTGTAGATCCTTACGACACGGAATACGTAACAGCAGGCATAGACAATATCATTTGCAAATGGGATAAAGATAGTTTATTATGGAAGGTGCTAAATGTCGTAAGTATATATTTAACAAAATCAAATGTATATAGTTATTAAAGTTGTAATAATTGCAATAATTTTATTAGTCAAACTGCTTTTCCCTTGCCATACATCCAGAGAGTACTGTTGTCGCAGTCGGAGAAGCCACGGGGAACGTAGTCGTTTTAAATTTAGAAAATGGTGATCAAATAACTAGGTTTTCTGTCTCCAAAAGTTCTTTAAATACGATGGCATTTTCTCCAGGTGAGGTCTTTTTTCATGTATTAATGTTTATATTTTAAGAACTGAAAACGTTATTCTTGCTTCAAGTGTATAAAGTTTTCTTGACTTTATTACGTGTTACATAAAATATTAATGAAAATAATGTATTTTTGGTTAATATATGACCCAAATACTCTATAAACTATTTAAAACTTTCAATAACATATTTTAACAGATAAAACTGATCTTTTTTTTAATTTTTAAGCCCATTTAGTTTGCTTATTTGAATTTTTCTTTGATTTTCTTTGCGATGAATATTATAATTAAATTATAAATAAAATTCTTAATAATATAAAAAATATAGCTAGAAATTCTGTTTCACAATAAACTAATGGCTTTTCTCTTTTTTCATTTGTTTTTTTTTTCGGTTTCGTAGATAATAGTTAATAAATTTTAGAAGTAGCAACAAAAATGACAGAAATGGCAGTCAAAATAATGGTAGAAATATATTTTATATTGTGAAAAAATCAGATATAAATATTATTTATAGTTTTAAGTTAACAAAAATTATTTTTTTACGTTCGATAAACAATATATATATTTATCTTTAATATTTATATAGCTTTTCCTCCAGATTACCCGTAGTCACGGTAAACTTATTCGAATAGAAAGTTCAAGTTAAGAAATGGTTAAACACATTTATCATATAAAAAAACATAAACAANATATTTATATAGCTTTTCCTCCAGATTACCCGTAGTCACGGTAAACTTATTCGAATAGAAAGTTCAAGTTAAGAAATGGTTAAACACATTTATCATATAAAAAAACATAAACAAATGAATGATACATTTATCCTACACCATTTATTTCATTACAAATGTTACAGTAATTATTCCTTTTAGTTTCATAGAAATTTTTTAATGGAAAACTATGAAACTAAATTCTCATCCCTTTTAGTTTTATAGAATTCCTTTCCATCCTAGAATCTTCAAATGATTTTTTATAAGTTATTGGCTCGTAATTCTTAAAATAAAAATTAAAATTATCATAATGATTTACTGTCATATATTATGGTTGAAACTAAAACATTTTAATACCACAAATTTAGAGAATTAAAAAAAATTCTCCAAATTACATTTTACAAACCTGAAAAAAATGAAGTGATATCTATTGCTAAATATCACATTCTATGTAATGAAATACACCCGTTTTTAATAAAATTTATCTATAATAAACAACGTAAAATATTAAAATTGTATAATTGATAAAGATTCGTTGATGTCTTAACTTCCTTATTATTTAATTTGATAGAAAACAATGAATATGCCTATTAAACTGACTCAAACTAGTATTTTATCAAATTAACTAAGACTGTTCATTGTCTTCTTTAATTATTTTGTACAATGTCGACTTTTATAACTGAATATATAATAACAAAATTGTTGTTGAATTTTAAATTTGACAATTAGCCCCAAGATAAGCTATTTGAATATAGTATGTTGAATCATACAAGGTTTGTTCCATGATTCGAGATTTTTAGGAATTGCATCAGTCAACATCTTGTGGAATTTATTGGATTTTCAAAACAATCCTATTTCATAAACAGTGCACTCAGCAGAGAGATACAATAAACTTACTTCAC